TAGAATCATAGAATCCTAGAATCAAAGAGTTGGAAGAGACCTCATGGGCCATCCAGTCCAACCCCCTGCCAAGAAGGAGGAATATTACATTCAAATCACCCCTGAGAGATGGCCATCCAGCTTCTGTTTAAAAGCTTCCAAAGATGGAGCCTGCACCACACTCCGCAGCAGAGAGTTCCACTGCTGAACGGCTCTCACAGTCAGGAAGTTCTTTTGTGGAGAGGTGGCTGCCAAGAGAGTGGAAATGGTCCACATTTTCCAATGTTACACCATTAAGCTGTATCTCTGGCATTGGAGAGGGATTGGCTGGTGAATGCTGGAAGAGCACTTTGGTTTTCTCGATGTTTAAGCCCCTATACTAGAAACATTTAAAAAGAACCTTAAAACCTGGCTCTTCTGCTGCGCCTTTGGCGAGTAGGTGCACAACACGACACTATTGCTCCTCTCAACGCCTCTGTCACTGGAGTATACTCCCCCCAAATGGGAAGTTTAGTTTTTCAACCCTGTGTGTCTCTATGGGCTCCGCACAAATAACTTGCTCCTATTTTTATCTCATTAGGGATGTTTAACATTTTATCCTATACATGTGGCCCGCCCACTGTTACTTCGATTGTGTTTATTGTAATTATATTCTTAATACTCAAAAGGTTATTCCCCAAGCGTAGAAGCCCGAAATACAAAAAGCGAGATAGCAGATAGTGTTAGAATTTAGCCAGGAAAAATATGCCATCAAAATGGAGTCGATCCGTCATCTCGCGGATACGGGGGCCCGAGGGGTTTCCATATCCGCGGTTTGGGGGAGCGCAGATTCAGTCTCCCCGGAACGCCAGGGAGGCATTCCGGGCAGGCCTGAAGTCTCCCGCAACCTGGAAAAGGTTAGTTTCATGCATTTTGATAGTTTCAGGCAAGAAAGAGACACAAAGTATCAAGCTGGAGAGTTTAAAAGTTGCAATTTGATTAATCTTTATTTGGGGATTATTTATTTATTTATTCTCAGCCCGAAGGCGACTCACAGCGGTTCACAACAAGTAGAACAGCAAAAATTTAATGCTACAGTGTAAAAACAGTTGACAACCTAACATATTACATAATTAATAAACAATTACTGCAATAACCATTCACGATCATCTCATCATCAAAAACATGATCCAGATTCGTCATCCATTATTCCGTTCCAATGTTCATTAACCAGTCATTGCACTAATTATTCGAACGCCTGCTCAAACAGCCAGGTCTTCACTTTTCTGCGGAATACCATTAGAGATGGTGCTAGTCTGATGTCCGTAGGAAGGGCGTTCCACAGCCGAGGGGCCACCACCGAGAAGGCCCTATCTCTCGTCCCCGCCAGCCGTGCTTGAGAAGCAGGCGGGATCGAGAGCAGGGTCTCCCCGGAAGATCTCAAAATCCTGGTGGGTTCATAGGCAGAGATGCGGTCGGATAGGTAGCTTGGGCCGGAACCGTTTAGGGCTTTAAAGGCCAACGCCAGCACCTTGAATTGAGCCTGGTAGCAGATCGGTAGCCAGTGGAGTTGGCGCAGCAAGGGGGTTGTATGCTCCCTGCGCTCCGCTCCTGTTAGAATCATGGCTGCCGAGCGTTGGACTAGTGCAAGGCTGTAGCAGATATGTAACAAAGTGCTAGTTAAAGTGCGGCATGGAGGGATTGATAATGGATTAAAGTGCTACAGTTGGATAAATTAGCAGCAAGTTGGTACAGGGGAGGTATAATAAGGTGCTACGCTAGGCAGATTCACAGACAGTTACAGAGTTGGGGCTAGCAAAGGAGTGAAAGGAGAGAGCACATGACTGTAGACAGTCCCTGATTGAGGCTGCTGCTGGGGCACATTTCATCAGTTTGGCCCAACTTGGCGTCCAGGAACTGTGGAACTCCCTGCTGCTGGTCAGACCAGCTTGAAGGCAGGGGTCTGGGATGCCCTCGACGACAATTAGGGAGATGGTGGCGGGGTATCAATAAAGTTTATTATTATTAATGACAGGCCGAGCTTCTCGTATACTTCTGTGGAGGTGTTTTGTGTGTCTTCCAGGTCTTCTGAATGTGCACAGACGACGTTGTCATCAGCATACTGGAGTTCTATAACAGATGTTGTAAGCTTGGTTTTGGCTTTCAGTCTGCTGAGGTTAAATAGCTTGCCATATATACATTCTAAGATGCGTTTGATGGCAAACCACACACTCTCCTAGGCAAGGGCTATAAATAAAGTTTATTATTATTATTATTATTATTATTATTATTATTATTAATGACAGGCTGAGCTTCTCATATGCTTCTGCAAAGGTGTTTAGAGTGGCTTCCAGATCTTCTTCTGAATGTGCATAGATGACGTTGTCATCAGCATACTGGAGTTCTATAACAGATGTTGTTGTAAGCTTGGTTTTGGCTTTCAGTCTGCTGAGGTTAAATAGCTTGCCATATATACATTCTAAGATGCGTTTGATGGCAAACCACACACTCTCCTAGGCAAGGGCTATAAATAAAGTTTATTATTATTATTATCATTATTATTATTAATGACAGGCCGAGCTTCTCGTATGCTTCTGCGAAGGTGTTTTATGTGCCTTCCAGGTCTTCTTCTGAATGCGCACAGGCGACGTCGTCATCAGCATACTGGAGTTCTATAACAGATGTTGTAAGCTTGGTTTTGGCTTTCAGTCTGCTGAGGTTTAATTGCTTGCCATATATACATTCTAAGCAGGGGCGGATAAGTATTACGCGAAGTAAGCGGTCGCAGAACACTTTTTTTGCCAGGGGCGCAGAGGCGCCTCTGTAAATGCCCCTCGACCGCCACTTGAGGAGCGCCCCCTCAGCTCACAACAGCCCTAGCAGTCCGGGGGGAGCCTCGGCTTTCTTGCCTCGCTGCCGGGCGATCCTCTTCCCAAAGGGGCCAGGCCCTTGCCTAGCCCCTCTCGTTCCTGCTCCACCTGGCCACCGGGTGCGCAAGCAGAGCCGGCACTCAATCGTTCTCCGCGTTCGATCCCTTCCCCATGACTGGCTCCCTTTCCCGATCCCCCGGCGCTCCACCTGCCTCCTCTCCTCTCCCCAATCCGTGGGTGGGCCAAGGGGCGGAGCTGCCGCGCCTGGCCCGCTTCGGGTCGGAGGCGTGTCTGAAGACCCCAGCGTGCGCACCAAAAGTCGCCTCTTCTCCTGACTTTCTCTTCAGCCATTGGGACCAAGAGAGAGAGAGAGAGAGAGAGAGAGCCCCTCTGGCTGGAGGTATCTCCCACCTCCGCTCCCTCCTTTGTTTTTGCGCCTACCTTCAGGAAAGGTGGGCATCTCCACCTCTGTCTTTCTCTCTCTCTCTCTCTCTTGGTCCCAATGGCTGAGGAGAAAGTCAGGAGAAGAGGTGACTTTTCAGGCACGCCTCCGGACCCAAAGCGGGCCAGGCAAGGGAGCAAGTGCGGCAAGTGTAGTTACTGGGATGTATAGCTCACCTACAATCATAAAATGCAAAGATACAGAATGGGGGACAATGCCTGGCTCGACAGCAGTACGTGTGAAAAAGATCTTGGAGTCCTCATGGGGAACAAGTTAAACATGAGCCAACAATGTGATGTGGGCAAAAAAAGCCAATGGGATTTTGGCCTGCATCAATAGGAGCATAGTGTCTAGATCTAAGGAAGTCATGCTCCCCATGCTCTATTCCGCTTTGGTTAGACCACACCTGGAATATTGTGTCCAATTCTGGGCACCACAATTCAAGAGAGATATTGACAAGCTGGAATGTGTCCAGAGGAGGGCGACTAAAATGATCAAGGGTCTGGAGAACAAGCCCTATGAGGAGCGGCTTAAGGCGCTGGGCATGTTTAGCCTGAAGAAGAGAAGGCTGAGAGGAGATATGATAGCCATGTATAAATATGTGAGAGGAAGCCACAGGGAGGAGGGAGCAAGCTTCTTTTCTGCTTCCTTGGAGACTAGGACGCAATGGAACAATGGCTTCAAACTACAAGAGAGGAGATTCCATCTGAACATGAGGAAGAACTTCCTGGCTGTGAGAGCCGTTCAGCAGTGGAACTCTCTGCCCCGGAGTGTGGTGGAGGCTCCTTCTTTGGAAGCTTTTAAACAGGGGCTGGATGGCCATCTGTCAGGGGTGATTTGAATGCAATATTCCTGCTTCTTGGCAGAATGGGGTTGGACTGGATGGCCCATGAGGTCTCTTCCAACTCTAGGATTCTAGGATTCTATGATTAATGACAGGCCGAGCTTCTCGTATGCTTCTGCGAAGGTGTTTAGAGTGGCTTCCAGATCTTCTTCTGAATGTGCATAGATGACATTGTCATCAGCATACTGGAGTTCTATAACAGATGTTTTAAGCTTGGTTTTGGCTTTCAGTCTGCTGAGGTTAAATAGCTTGCCATATATACATTCTAAGATGCGTTTGATGGCAAACCACACACTCTCCTAGGCAAGGGCTATAAATAAAGTTTATTATTATTATTATTATTATTATTATTATTATTAATGACAGGTCGAGCTTCTCGTATGCGTCTGCAAAGGTGTTTTGTGTGCCTTCCAGGTCTTCTTCTGAATGTGCACAGACGACATTGTCATCAGCATACTGGAGTTCTATAACAGATGTTGTAAGCTTGGTTTTGGCTTTCAGTCTGCTGAGGTTGAATAGCTTGCCATATATACATTCTAAGATGCGTTTGATGGCAAACCACACACTCTCCTAGGCAAGGGGCCAACTTGGGTTTTCCCTCCAGGTGTTTGGTACTCCAACTCCCATCATTCCTCACAGCCTCAGGCCCCTTCCTTTCCCCCTTCAGCTGCTTAAGCATTCCCTTGTTAATGGCGGACGCGATTGCGCAGGAGGAGGAGGAGGAGGAGGAGAGGCAAGGCATGAATGAATGGAGCCATCTCCCTTGCCTCCCCTCCTCCCCCCCCCTCCCCTGTTTGTGTGAATGGGAGAAAGGCTCTTGACGTCACGGAGGAGCCGAGCCAACGGGCGCCTCTCTCAGGGATCGGGTGGATTACTACCCTCCTCCTCCTCCTCCTCCTCCTTATTATTATTATTTTTGGGGTTCCATTGACTGTTCTTGGCCATGTTCCGCCAAAAGCCGGGAGGAGGAGGAGGAGGAAGCCTAGAGGACGAGGAGGAGGAGGAGGAGGAGAGCCCACAGCAGCCGCATTTCACCTGCAGCAGGTACAGAAACCTCCCCGCCCAAGTCTCCCCTTGGGTCCGCACTGCATGGGAAGGAGGGGCCAGCTTTGACCCCGGGGATGGGCTGCCCCCTTTCAAGGGCGAACCTGGAAGGCAGTCTCGGCCACATGGAAAATATTAAATTAAGTGCTAAGTTAAATACTTAATATCTTCTTTACTTACACTTGAATTAATAATTTGAAATTCTGATTTAATAATTACTTGTAATATAGTTAATTCAAGGAAATTATGTCAAAATAAATAAAATTCAATTAATTCAATAACATAAACTTAATCAACCGGTGTAATCATATATTAAATAACTACATTTCTGTTCTGAAAGAAATATAATTTTTATTTGTATTTCATTAATTCGTTATTACATTAAAAAACGACAATCTTTCCTTCATTGCTTACATTTTTCTTCCTTCTTCCCTCATTCATTCTATCATCCATTCTATCACTCCCTAACTTCACTTTAACCTCCCTAAATCCAATCACTTCATTTTTTCTTTCTTTATTTATTCTTTATTCCTTTATTTCTTTATTCTTTCCTTATTCCTTAATTACCTTCTGTCACTCACTCATTATTTATTCCTTCACTCCATTCACTTTCTGCTCTTCATTCATTTCACGTACTTAATTAGTATTTAATTTACTTTACTTAACTTCTTCCTTCCTTATCACCTCCTACTCCCTTCCCTTCCATTAAGCAATAATTCTCTCAACACACATCTAATTTACTCTTCTTTCATTTCTTTATTTATTTTCTTTATTACTTACTTAATAATTAATTACGTATATTACTTCCTTCCTTCCTTCCCTTCTGTCCCTCCCTCCTTGTTTCCTTCCTTCCCTCCCTTTCCTCCCTTCCCTTTCTTGCTTCTTTCATTCCTTCCTTCCTTCTTTCCTTCCCTCACTCCCTCTTTCATTCTTTCCTTCCCTCCCTCTTTCACTCTTTCTTTCTTTGCTTCCCTCCTTCCTTTCTTCCCTCCTTCCCTTCCTTCCTCTTCCTTCCTCCTCCTCTCTTCTTCTTCCTCCTTCCCTTCTTTCCTTCCTTTCTCCTTTCTCTTTCTTTCTTTCCTTCCTTCCCCCCCCCCTCTTTCTTTCTTCCTTCCTTCCCTCCCTCTTCCTTCCTCCTTCTTTCCCTTCTTCCCTCCTTTCTTCTTCTTCCTCCTTCCTCTTCTCTTCTTTCTCCCTTCCTTCTCCTTCCTTCCTTCTTTTTTCTCCTCTTTCCTTCTTTCTTTCCTTCTTTTCCCTCCCTTTCCTTCTTCCTTTCCTCCCTCTTTCTCCTTTCTTCCTTCTCTTCTCCTCCTTTCCTTCCTTCCCTCCCTCACACCATTTTTTCCTCTTCCTTCCTTCTCTCCCCCTTCCTTCCTTCCTTTCCTTCCTTCCTTCCTTCCTTCCTTCCTTCCTTCTTCTTCTTTCCTCCTCCTCCCTTCCCTTCCTTCCCTCCCCCCTTCCTCCTCCTTTTTTTCCTTCCTTCCTTCCTTCCTTCTTTCCTTCCTTCTCTTCTTCCCCCTCCCTCCCTTCTTTCTTTCCTTCCTTCCCTCCCTGCCACCCTCTTTCCTTCCTTCCTCCCTTCCCTTCCCTTCCCAGGCATGACCTTCGGGCGACTTTTGGGGTTTTGCTTTCCCTGGAGTTTCCCCCTTTCCCCGCCTTTTCCACTCATTTTTTGCCTATTATTATTATTATTATTATTATTATTATTATTATTATTATTGCTGCTAATATTGCTATTATTAATAATACCGTTCTTTATCTCCTCTGAAGGGGACTCGAAGAGGCTCAACACACAAGCATCAGCATCACAATTTAAAATATATAGAACCATGCAAACACTGAAACAGGATTTTAAAACATTCCCAATTGAGACCCCCCCCCCCCCTTGCACCCCTGGAATTGGACTTCAGACATCTGGAAAGCCCGCAAAGGGGTCTCCCTGGGCTGGGAGGGGGGGGGGCAGCAGTTGCCCCTGAGTGAGAAACAATGACAGGGGGACAAACAGATACACCAAGAAATAAACAAAAGGGGGGGGGGTGTCAAGGGGAAGGACCCCTTCTGCAGACCCTCCCCCCAATTCCAGCCCCTTATTTCCCCTCCTGCTTTGCAGCATTCCCCTTTCCCTGCTCCCCCCTCCCTCTTTTCCTCCTGAATCGCCGCAGCGCCCCAAAGTCTCCCTGTGGGTGACGTCAGAGCCTCCTCACTCATTCACTAGCCCCCCTCCCCTACGGTGGCAATGAATGATGCTTCGTGTCTTGCTTTGTATATATATGGGGGGGGGGGGCACTTTGGTACCCATCTCTCTCCTTCCGCAACAGAGACACCCTCTCATTTGGGGTCACCAAACTGTGCAGGTCTTGATGATTAGGAAAGCCCATGACAGCCATTGCATGCGTTTGCAAAGTCCGATGCCTGGGGATGATGGGTTATATCAAAATTCCTCATGTCCCTTCTTTTTTTTTGGGGGGGGGGGGCTTTTGAAGTCTCTGCCAAGGTGGCGCTTGCAAAGAGAGGAGGCCGAAGTACACTATCTCTGGGAACAGAGCATAGCAGGTGAACACAGAATTATAGGAAGAATTATAGGAAGAGCAATACAGTCCAGAAAACCTATACATATAATATTATAAATATTATATGTATATACAATATATTATATTATACTATACTATACTATAGTTAGGACATTAAGATCGTCCGGGGAGGCCCTGCTCTCGATCCCGCCAGCCTCACAAGCACGGCTGGCGGGGACAAGAGACAGGGCCTTCTCAGTGGTGGCCCCTCGGCTGTGGAACGCCCTTCCCGCAGACGTTAGATCGGCCCCCTCCCTGCTGGTGTTCAGGAGAAGAGTGAAGACCTGGCTCTTTGAACAGGCGTTCAATTAAGCAGTGCAATCAATTGACTGAGTTTGGAACTGGAATAATGGACGAGGAGATCGGATTATGACTTTATTGATGAGACGTGATGGCTTAGTTAGTTGGATATATTGATGTTATGCGGATTTACTGATGTATTGTTGTATTGTTTTAACTGCTTTAGTGACTGTGTAAGTGTTAATGCTAATGCTATGCACTTTGTATATTGACCTGGTTGTAAACCGCACTGAGTCGCCTACGGGCTGAGATAGTGCGGTATACAAATAAAGTAAATAAATAAATAATACTATACTATACTATACTATACTATACTATACTATACTATACTATACTATACTATACTATATTATATTATATTATAATGTCTCAGCCTTCTCTTCTGTAGGCTAAACATGCTCAGCTCTTTCAGCCGCTCCTCATAGGGCTTGTTCTCCAGACCCTTGATCATTTGAGTCACCCTCCTCTGGACACATTCCAGCTTAGAGTCAACCTCTCCCTTCAATTGTGGTGCCGAGAATTGGACACAGTGGGATTCCAAGTAACGTGGTCTAGCTAAGGCAGAATAGAGCGTGGGTAGCATGACTTCCCTAGATCTAGACACATGTTTACAACATTCTTTACAGAATCATAGAATCAAAGAGTTGGAAGAGACCTCCTGGACCATCCAGTCCACCCCATTCTGACAAGAAGCAGGAATATTGCATTCAAAGCATCCCCGACAGATGACCACTCCTCATAGGGCTTGTTCTCCAGACCTTTGATCATTTGAGTCGCCCTCCTCCGGACACATTCCAGCTTAGAGTCAACCTCTCCCTTCAATTGTGGTGCCAAGAATTGGACACAGTGGGATTCCAAGTAACGTGGTCTAACTAAGGCAAAATAGATAATGGGTAGCATGCAAGATCTAAACACATGTTTACAACATTCTTTACAGAATCATAGAAACCTAGAGTTGGAAGAGACCTCCTGGGCCATCCAGTCCAACCCCATTCTGACAAGAAGCAGGAATATTGCATTCAAAGCACCTCCGACAGATGGCCATCCAGCCTCTGTTTCAAAGCCTCCAAAGAAGGAGCCTCCACCACATTCCAGGGCAGAGAGTTCCACTGATGAACAACTCTTATGGTCAGGAGAGAATGCTCCTGGAACATGGCCATACCAATCAAGAAAACTCGACAACTAGCCAGGAAACTGAGATGGAGCCTGGATGGAAAACTTCTATCATTCGTTTACAACTTTAGGATAACATCAGTGGGTTAAACCCCTGTGCCGGCAGGACTGAATACCGACAGGTCGCAGGTTCGAATCCGGGGAGAGGCGGATGAGCTCCCTCTATCAGCTCCAGCTCCTCATGCGGGGACATGAGAGAAGCCTCCCACAAGGATGATAAAAACATCAAATCATCCGGGCGTCCCCTGGGCAGCGTCCTTGCAGACGGCCAATTCTCTCACACCAGGAGTCACTCCTGACAAGACAAAAAAAAAATCATCCTTGTGGGAGGCTTCTCTCATGTCCCCGCATGAGGAGCTGGAGCTGACAGAGGGAGCTCATCTGCGCTCTCCCCGGATTCGAACCTGCAACCTGTCAGTTTTCAGTCCTGCCCGCTCAGGGGTTTAACCCACTGATGTTGTCCTAAAGTTGTAAACGAATGATCTATGTTTTCCTGTTTCCTGGCTAGTCGTTGACTCTTCTTGATCGGTGTTGGCCTTCTGTTGACTTTTCTGGGCTGTATGGCCATGATCCAGGAGCATTCCCTCCTGACCATGAGTGCTGTTCAGCAGTGGAACTCTCTGCCCCAGAGTGTGGTGGAGGCTCCTTCTTTGGAAGCTTTTAAACAGAGGCTGGGTGGCCATCTGTCGGGTGTGCTTTGAATGCAATTTTCCAGCTTCTTGGCAGAATGGGGTTGGACTGGATGGCCCATGAGGTCTCTTCCAATTCTATGATTATGTAAAGAATGTTGTAAACATGTATCTAGATCCAGGGAAGGGGAAGTCATGCTTGGAATCCCACTATATCCAATTCTGGGCACCACAATTGAAATGAGAGGTTGACTCTAAGCTGGAATGTGTCCAGAGGAGGGTGACTCAAATGACCAAGGGTCTGGAGAACAAGCCGTATGAGGAGTGGCTGAAAGAGCTGGGCATGTTTAGCCTACAGAAGAGATGGCTGAGCCATTAATATAATATAATATAATATAATATAATATAATATAATATAATATAATATAATATAATATAATATATATGCATATAATATTTATAATATTATATGTATAGGTTTTCTGGGCTGTAATGCTCCCCATGCTCTATTCCGCCTTGGTTAGGCCACACCTGGAATATTGTGTCCAATTCTGGGCACCACAATTCAAGAGAGATATGGAGGTTGACTCTCAGCTGGAATGTGTCCAGAGGAGGGCGACTCAAATGATCAAGGGTCTGGAGAGCAAGCCCTATGAGGAGTGGCTTAAGGAGCTGGGCATTTTTAGCCGAAGAAGAGAAGGCTGAGAGGAGATATGATGAGGGCCATGTATAAATATGTGAGAGGAAGCCACAGGGAGGAGGAGGGAGCAAGCTTGTTTTCTGCTTCCTTGGAGACTAGGACGCAATGGAACAATGGCTTCAAACTACAAGAGAGGAGATTCCATCTGAACATGAGGAAGAACTTCCTGACCGTGAGGACCGTTCAGCAATGGAACTCTCTGCCCTGGAGTGTGGTGGAGGCTCCTTCTTTGGAAGCTTTGAAACAGAGGCTGGATGGCCATCTGTCAGGGGTGATTTGAATGAAATATTCCTGCTTCTTGGCAGAATGGGGTGGACTGGATGGCCCAGGAGGTCTCTTCCAACTCTTTGATTCTAATGCAATATAATACTAATAATATGATATTATAATTATATATTTATATTGCATGCAATATTACTAATAATATTACGGTAGAGTGGTATAGTACAATATAGCAGTGTTTAGTACTGATATTGTACTATGCTAATAGTGTAATATATTGTATGTAAGCCACTCTGAGTCCCCTTTGGGGTGAGAAGCGCGGCATATAAATGCTGTAGATAGATAGATAGATAGATAGATAGATAGATAGATAGATAGATAGATAGAGAGGGCCATGGATCAAGAAGTGAGGGGAAGCCATAGGTAGGAGGGAGCCGGCTTGTTTTCTGCTGCCCTGGAGACTAGGATGCAATCTAACAATGGCTTCAAACTACAGGAAAGCAAGGAGATTCCACCTGAACATTAGGAAGAACTTCCTAACTGTGAGGAGAGCTGTTCAGCAGTGGAACTCTCTGCTCCAGTGTGTAGTGGAGGCTCTTTTTTTGGAGGCGTTTAAAGAGAAGCTGGATGGCCATCTGTCGGGGGTGCTTTGAATGCGATTTTCCTGCTTCTTGGCAGAATGGGGTTGGACTAGATGGCCCAGGAGGTCTCTTCCAACTCTAGGATTCTATGATTTCCTTAATGCAAAGTCTCTGATAAACAGATGTAAACATTTCTCTTGTCACTGTCACAGTTCTCGTCACAGTTTACTAGGCAAGTCAAGCATTTCAGTTCTCATTAGCAGGTTTTAATTACAATCCAGCCAGTGGGCCTTATTCCTTTGGATGGTATCTTCAGCCCAATGAGGCCGCATCCATACACCTTTCATAGAATCCTAGAGTTGGAAGAGACCTCCAAAGGCCACCCAGTCCAACGCCATTCTGCCAAGAAGCAGGAAAATTGCATTCAAAGCACCCCCAACAGATGGTTACCCAGCCTCTGTTTCAAAACCTCCACCACACTCTGGGGCAGAGAGTTCCACTGCTGAACAGCTCTCACCATCAGCAAGTTCTTCCTCGTGTTCAGATGGAATCTCCTCTCTTGTAGTTTGAAGCCACTGTTCCGCGTCCTAGTCTCCAGGGAAGCAGAAAACAAGCTTGCTCCCTCCTCCCTGTGGCTTCCTCTCACATATTTATACATGGCTATCATATCTCCTCTCAGCCTTCTCTTCTTCAGGCTAAACATGCCCAGCTCTTGAAGCCGCTCCTCATAGGGCTTGTTCTCCAGACCCTTGATCATTTTAGTCGCCCTCCTCTGGACACATTCCAGCTTGTCAATATCTCTCTTGAATTGTGGTGCCCAGAATTGGACACAATATTCCAGGTGTGGTCTAACCAAAGAAGAATAGAGCATGGGGAGCATGACTTCCCTGGATCTAGACACTAGGCTCCTATTGATGCAGGCCAAAATCCCATTGGCTTTTTTTGCCGCCACATCACATTCCTGGCTCATGTTTAACTTGTTGTCCACGAGGACTCCAAGATCTTTTTCACACGTACTGCTCTCGAGCCAGGCATTGTCCCCCATTCTGTATCTTTGCATTTCGTTTTTTCTGCTAAAGTGGAGTATCTTGCATTTGTCACTGTTGAACTTCATTTTGTTAGTGTTGGCCATTCATCTCTCTAGTCTGTCAAGATTAGAGAGGTCCAGAAGAAGCCCTCTGACTTAAAACACGCCACACGAAGAGTGAAGAATCAAATCTTCTTTTATTAAAGCTTAGTAAATAGCCAGAAGAAATAAATGCTTGCAAGAAAATCAGAAGATTCCAAAAAGTATTAGTCCATAAACAGTAGTCAGACAAAGCAATGTCCACACAAGAAATACAGGCAATCCAAGTCAGCATTAATCCAGACAAGAGTCAAGCAAGATGCAAAGGCAATTCAAAAGGCTAAAAAACTCCACAGAAACAAGATCCCTTGAACAAGACATCCATGGTACAAGAACTTGGTTTCCAAATGATGCCTGATCTGACAAGATTTTCTACAGGCAAACCTTAAATCCCAAAAACTGGTTTTGTTTTCCCCCAGTCTTTGCTTTTAATTGACGAATTCTTTCGGATCTAGGTAAACATTGGGTCTCTTGATTCTATGATTCTATTATTCTTGTTGATTCTGGCTAATCTCCTGCTGCTGACTCTGCTTATCTGACTCCTCATTAACTTTACCAGGTGTCAGACAGTTTTCCAAACTAGAATCTGGAGAGCTCACAGACGGAGGGAGTAAACCTTTCTCCCAAAACCTGACAGAAACATTCTCATGAGAATCTGCCCTTTGCACCGAAGCCTCTCTGTCAGTCTGCATGAAACTCATTGACCAAAGTGTCTCCGTCTTGCATCTCAGAGTCAGCCCCAGCATCCTCCACATCAGAAGCAACAGGGGAATGATTTCCCTCCTCATTACCCACATCAGACACAGAAACATCAGGAGACTGAAACACATTCACAGGTTCAAGCACAGACTGAGTCCCAACGACTAGTTTCTGAGGTCTGCCCCCCATAAAAAAGGACATGCCTCCCTTCCAAGGCTCTGACCCTCTCCTCCTTTTCTCCTCCTTTTCTCCTCCTTTTCTCCTCCTTCTCTCTCTCCTTGCAGGTCATGCTCCAGGCCAACCCCGCTGCCACCTCTACCGCCATGGAAGAGCAGCTGCGGGAACAACAGCGCCACCTCCTGGTCCTGCTCAACGCCGCCTCTTCCTCGCGGCCCTTCTCCACACTCTGGCCTCCTGGCAACACTTCAGCTTCTGCCACTGGGAGCCCCTCGGACCTCTCTCCGGCCACCGGAGCCACCGCCGCAGCCACAGTGGGGAGCGAGGATGGGGCGGGCAGCGGCGGGGGTGGTGGGGGCAGTGGCAGTGGTGTGGGCAGTGGAGGAGGCAGCGGAGCAGGCAGCGTATCAGGCGGCAGCGGTGGAGATGTATCCGCAGTGGCCGTCGCAGTCAATCCATGGGATGTGGCCCTGTGTGCCACGGGAACAGCGGTAGCGTGCGAGAACGCGTTGGTCCTGGCCGTGCTCTTCTACTCACCCAACCTCCGGGCACCCATGTTCCTCCTCATTGGAAGCCTGGCCTTGGCTGACTTGCTGGCCGGCGTGGGCTTGGTGGTCAACTTCAGCGTTCAGTACCTACTGCAACCGCCCAGTCAGGCAGCTACTTTGGGGGCGGCCGCCTTGCTGCTGACGGCCTTCTCGGCCTCGGCGGGCAGCCTGCTGGCCATCACCGTGGACCGCTACCTGTCGCTCTACAACGCCCTGACCTACCACTCGGAGCGCACGAGGACCTTCACCGCCACTTGCCTGCTCTGCCTGTGGCTCCTCTGCTTGGCGCTGGGCTTGCTCCCACTCCTGGGGTGGAACTGCTTCCGCCACCCGACATGCAGTGTCCTGCGGCCCATCACCAAGGACAACGCCGCCCTCCTGGCTGCGGCCTTCCTCCTCCTCTTTGCCCTCATGCTCCAGCTCTACTCCCGCATCTGCAAGGTGGCATGCCGCCACGCTCAGCAGATCGCCGTGCAGCACCAGTTCACGGCGTCCTCCGCCTCCTCTTCCTCCTGCCCTGGCGCTCCGGCCTCGCCTTCCGGCCGCAAGGGAGTGACCACTCTCTCCTTGGTGCTGGGCACCTTTGCACTCTGCTGGATGCCCTTTGCCATCTACTCCCTAGTGGCCGACGCCACTTACCCGCCTATCTACACCTACGTGCTGGCCCTCCCGGCTGCCTGCAACTCCCTCATCAACCCGGTCATCTACGCCTTCCGCAACGCCGACATCCAGAAGTCCCTCTGGCTGGCCTGCTGCGGCTGCATCCCGGCGAGGTTCTCCTCCCGGCCCCGGACGTCCAGCGATGTGTGAGAAGGCGGCGTAAAGATATGGGGGGGCCACGCGTGGATCGGGGAGGACGAGTTGGCCTTTTCCTCCTCAATGCAAGAATGGAGGAGGAAGAGGATGAAGTAGAAGAAGAGGGGGGAAGTTGGCGAGAAAGAAAGGCTGGAACCTTACTTGCATCAGAGCCAGGCGTTCGCGGCAGACGGCACCTCTTCAAATAAGGGTTATTTTCATACATGGGATGAATTTATTTTTGGTAGGTTCTCTCACTTTGGCCTTCCGCCTGGCATCTCGGGATGGTGCCAGATGTGACCCAAACATATCCACCCTCGGCCTGATTTTGACTCTCACGTTGCATGGATCCCACTTCAACTGCTTTGTTGTTGTTGTTGTTAGTCCATCTGGGTTCCAAATCCCTAAGATCCATCCTTCGGCAATTCAAATGTGGTCAAAGTTCTGTAGCTACATGGTATGAAAGAGGTTGTGTGAGTTTCCAAGAGGCTGGACCATGGAAGGAATGCTCAAGGTGGAGCTCCAAATGCCAGCATGCTTGCACTAGGGAAGAATTGTGTCCTTTGTGGTGACTGTTGGCTCTCATATCAATGAGACCATCAAGCATCACTACCTGATCCTTGCGGAGTCATGGCCAACTGCCAACCAGGGTTGGTAGTCAACCTCAGTTCATGTTCTTCTGAAATGCTTTTCCTCCAAGAAAGGACCATCTCGGGATGGTGCCAGATGTTACCCAAGCATATCCACCCTCGGCCTGATTTTGACTCTCACGTTGCATGGTTATAACCCTTGGATCCCACTTCAACTGCTTTGTTGTTGTTGTTGTTAGTCCATCCGGGTTCCAAATCCCTAAGATTCATCCTTCGGCAATTCAAGTGGGGTCAATGTTCTGTAGCTACATGGTATGAAAGAGGTTGTGTGAGTTTCCAAGAGGCTGGACCTTGGAAGGAATGCTCAAGGTGGAGCTCCACATGCCAGCATGCTTGCACTAGGGAAGAATTGTGTCCTTCGTAGTGACTGTTGGCTCTCATATCAATGAGACCATCAAGCATCACTACCTGATCCTTGCGGAGTCATGGCCAACTGCCAACCAGGGTTGGTAGTCAACCTCAGTTCATGTTCTTCTGAAATGCTTTTCCTCCAAGAAAGGACCATCTCAGGATGGTGCCAGATGTGACCCAAACATATCCACCCTCGGCCTGATTTTGACTCTCACGTTGCATGGTTATAACCCTTGGATCCCACTTCAACTGCTTTGTTGTTGTTGTTGTTAGTCCATCCGGGTTCCAAATCCCTAAGATCCACCCTTCAGCAATTCAAGTGTGGTCAAAGTTCTGGAGCTACATGGTATGAAAGAGGTTGTGTGAGTTTCCAAGAGGCTGGACCTTGGAAGGAATGCTCAAGGTGGAGCTCCAGATGCCAGCATGCTTGCACTAGGGAAGAATTGTGTCCTTCGTGGTGACTGTTGGCTCTCATATCAATGAGACCATCAAGCATCACCACCTGATCCTTGCGGAATCATGGCCAACCGCCAACCAGGGTTGGTGGTCAACCTCAGTTCATGTTCTTCTGAAATGCTTTTCCTCCAAGAAAGGAGGGAAGCATTGGGTGGAGAATGTGAAGTAGAGTCTCGTTGGCATGTGAGGCTGTGCTTTGGGTTGGGTTATATGGTAGAGTCTTGTTTATCTGACATAAAACAGCGGAAAAACAAAAAATTCAGATAATACGGAGTCTTCTCTTACCCATCTGATGCGGTGCTAGACACCTAGAATGCTAACAACAGGGACTCAAAGAGTTAAGGCAAGGCAACGCCTCAGGGCTAGAGTTAAGGCAAGGCAACGCCTCAGGGCTAGAGAGTACTTCCTCATTCTTTGCATGCTTGCTGGAGATTTTTACGGCGTCGTAAGTTAGTTACATTAGCCTTCCCAGATACGCAGTACCTAAATTTCCTACTTGATAGATGCAACTGTCTTTCGGGCTGCAAAGGTTGACAGCAAGCTACAAAATTGGTTGGAAGCTCACTCCGACCTGGGCTGGCTTCGAACTCATGACCTTTCAGTCAATGGTGATCTTAATGCAGCTGACTCCCAACTAGCTGTGCCACAGTCCCGGTCTTGCCTTTTTCTTTTATTGGGAACTAGCTGTACCTGCCACGCGTTGCTGTGGCCAACCATCCCTCCCTCTTTTTTCCCTTCTTTCCCTCCTTCCTTGGCTCCCTCTTTCCTTCCTTCCCTTTTTTCTTTCCTTCTCTCCTTCCTTCATTCTCTACCTTTCCTTCCTTCCCCCTTTTTCTTTAGCTCTTTTTCCCTCTCATTTCTTCCTTCCCTACTTCCTTCCTTTGTTTTTTGCTTCCATCTTTTTTCTCTCCTTCTTTCCCGCCTTCCTTCACTCCCTCTTCCTACCTTCCCTTTTTTCTTTCTTTCTCTCCTTCCTTCTCTACCTTTCCTTCCTTCCCCTTTTCTTTATTTTCTTCTTTCTCTCATTTCTTCCTTCCCTACCTATTTTCCTCCTTCCTTCCTTCCTTCCTTTGCTTTTTGCGTCCATCCTTCCTTTTCTCTTTTCCTCCCTCCTTCTTTCTCTCCTTCTTTCCCTCCTTCCTTTGCTCCCTCTTTCCTTCCTTCCCTTTTTTCTTTCCTTCTCTCCTTCCTTCCTTCTCTACCTCTTTCCTTCCTTCCCCCTTTTTCTTTTTCTTCCCCCCTTTCTCCTTTCTTCCTTCTCTACCTCTTTCCTTCCTTCTCTCTTTCCTTCTTTATTCCCCTCCCTCGTTCTCTCTCTCTCTTTCTCCCCTTTTTCCCCTCCCTCTTCCTTCCCTTTTTTCTGTATCATCATTTAGCTTTTTGTCATTTAGCATTATAGTATTTTATGGTATCCTTTTCGCTGTTTTTTTTGGGGGGGGGGTATGAGTTATGGTCACTCGTTGGTCTGTTAGGGGTATAGTGTCCAAATTTCGTGTGAGTTCATCCAGTGGTTTTTGAGTTCTGTTAATCCCACAAACAAACATTACATTTTTATTTATATAGACTAGCTGTCCCCTGCCATGCTTTGCTGTGGCCCACATGGGGGTTCTGTGTGGGATGTTTGGCCCAATTCTGTCGTTGGTGGAGTTCAGAATGCTCTGTGATTGTAGGTGAACTATAAATCCCAGCAACGACAACTCCCGAATATCAAGATTCTATTTTCCCCAAACTCCACCATTGTTCACATTTGGGCATATTGAGTATTCGTGTAGAGTTTGGTCCAGATCCATCATGGTTTGACACCACAGTGATCTCTGGATTTAGGTGAACTACAACTCCAAAACCAAAGGACTCTGCCCACCAAACCCTTCCAGTATTTTCTGTTGGTCATGGGAGAACTGTGTGCCATGATTGGTTCAATTCCATCGTTGGTGGGTTTCAGAACAATCTTTGATTGTAGGTGAACTATAAATCCCAGCAACTACAACTCCCAAATGACAAAATCATTTTTTTTTGAGTGAAGGACATACATTGGGTTGTTAGGTGTCTTGTGTCCAAATTTGGTGTCAATTCATCCAGTGGTTTTTGAGTTCTGCTAATCCCACAAACGAACATTACATTTTTATTTATATAGATGGAGAGAGAGTTGAGGAGCACTCCTTTAATTGAAGGGGAAATGCTGGAGGAAAAAAGTGGTGTCGGATAAGAACATCGGATAAGTGAAGGTTGGATAAGTGAAGGTCGGATAAGCAAGACTCTACTGTACTGTCATATTTGCCAGGCGAACCTTCCTTTTCTCCTCTTCTTTTTTGGGTGTTGGTGTACTACAACTCCCAGAATTCAAAAACAGCTCTCCTCCCAACCCCACCAATGTTGGCCATGTAGGCAGTGTGCCAAGTTTGGTGCCAATCCATTGTGGGCTAGGTTCAGAGTGCTCTCTGATTGTAGGTTAACTATAAATCCCAGCAATTACAACTCCCAAATGTCAAGGTCTATTTTCCCCAAATTTTAGCAGTGTTCATATCTGGGAATATTGAGTTTTCATGGCAAGTTTGGTCCAGATTAATTGGTGTTTGAGTCCACAGTGCTCTCTGGATGTAGCTGAACTACAACTCCCAAACTCAACGTCAATGCCCACCAAAGCTTTTCAGTATTTTCTCTTGGTCATGGGTTTTCTGTGTGCCAAGATTGGTTCAACTCCATCATTGGTGGAGTTCAGAATGCTCTTTGATTGTAGGTGAACTATAAATCCCAGCAACTCCAATATGTCAATTCTAATTTGCCCAATGTCCACCAGTGTTCACATTTGGGCATACTGAGTATTCATGCCAAGTTTGGTCCAGATCCATCATTGTTTGAGTCCCCAATGCTGTCTGGGTGTAGGTGAACTACAACTCCAAAACTCAAGGTCAGTGCCCTTAAAACCCAGTATTTTGTGTTGTTCATGGGAGTTCAAGGTCAGTGCCCACCAAACCCTTGCAGTATTTTGTGTTGTTCAAGGGAGTTCTGTGTGCCAAGATTGGTTCTATTCCATTGTTGGTGGAGTTCAGAATGCTCTTTGATTGTAGGTTAACTATAAATCTCAGCAGCAGCAACTCCCAAATGACACAATCAATCCAACTCCCAACCCCACCAGTATTCAAATTTGTGCGTATCGGATATTTGTGCCAAATTTGGCCTAGTGAATGAAAATCCATCCGGCATATCAGATATTTACGTTATGATTCAGAATGCTCTTTGATTGTAGGTGAACTATAAATCCCAGCAACTCCAACATATCAATTCTAATTTGCCCAAAGTCCACCAGTGTTCACATTTGGGCATACTGAGTATTCATGCCAAGTTTGGTCCAGATCCGTCATTGTTTCAGTCCACAGCCCTCTCTGGATTTAGGTGAACTACAACTCCAAAACTCAAGGTCGATGCCCTTGAAATGCAGTATTTTGTGTTGTTCATGGGAGTTCTGTGTGCCAAGTTCGGTTCAATTCCATTGGTGGAGTTCAGAATGCTCTTTGATTGTATAAATCCCAGCAACTCCAACATATCAATTCTAATTTGCCCAAAGTCCACCAGTGTTCACATTTGGGCATACTGAGTATTTGTACCAAGTTCGATCCACAATGCTGTCTGGATGTAGGTGAACTACAACTCCAAAACTCAAGGTCAATGCCCTTGAAATACAGTATTTTGTGTTGTTCATGGGAGTTCTGTGTGCCAAGATTGGTTCATTTCCATTGGTGGAGTTCAGAATGCTCTTTGATTGTAGGCAAACTATAAATCCCAGCAACTTCAACATGCCAATTCAAATTTGCCCAAAATCCGCCGGTGTTCACATTTGGGCATACTGAGTATTTGTACCAAGTTTGATCCACAATGCTGTCTGGTAGGGCTGGGCGATTTCGTTCGTTAATTTCGTAATTCGTTATTAATTCGTTATTTTTTTGATAACGAAGCGATATTGAACCATTCAGGAGCAACTAAAAAACGAAACGAATTTTTCCAATTTGTTTCGTAATCATTTCGAAATCGTTTCGAAATCGTTTCGAAATCGTTTCGTTATTATTTCCGCATGTCTGGTGCAAGTTTTAGGGTTGCTGTTTGTTTTCTCAGTGAAAAAATATATAATTATCACACCAACAGTCAACAACAGAGGGAGAGGGAAGCTTCAGAAGTTCCCCCTGTCCCATTTGGAGGGTTTTTTAGCGTATTGCACGATCGCGTCCGCCATTAACGAATCGATTCGTGATTGTTTCGCAATTGTTTCGTAATTTCCGAAATCTCGTAAATTTCGAACTTTTTTAAAGAAAAATTTCGGAATTCTTTTAAAAATTGAAACGCAAAAAACCCCTAAAAACTAATCGAGTTTAGAAACAAATGCTTCCGTGGTTGCCCAGCCCTACTGTCTGGATGTAGGTGAACCACAGCTCCAAAACTCAAGGTCAATGCCCTTAAAATATAGTATTTTGTGTTGTTCATGGGAGTTCTGTGTGCCAAGATTGGTTCAATTCCATTGTTGGTGGAGTTCAGTATGCTCTTTGATTGTAGGTAAACTATATATTCCAGCAACTACAACTCCCAAATGATAAAACAGTATTTTCTGTTGGTCATGGGGGTCTCTGGGTGGGAAATTAGGTGCAATTCTATCTTTAGTGGGGTTCAGAATGCTCTTTGATTGTAGGTGAACTATAACTCCCAGCAACTACAACTCCCAAATGTCCAGGTCTATTTTCCCCAAACTCCACCAGTATTCACACTTGGGCATATTGTGTTTCCGTGTCAAGTTTGGTCCAGATCCATCACTGTTTGAGTCTACAGTGCTCTTTGGATGTAGGTGAACTACAATGCCCAAATTCAAGGTCACTGCCCATCAAACCCTTCCCGTATTTTCTGTTGGTCGTGGGACTGCTGTGTGCCAAGATTGGTTCAATTCCATTGTTGGTGGAGTTCAGTATGCTCTTTGATTGTAGGTAAACTATAAATCCCAGTAAGTACAACTCCAAAATGATAGAATCAACCCCCCTTCCAACCCCACCAGTTTTCAAATTTGAATGTATTGGGTATTTGTGCCAAATTTGGTTGAGTGAATGAAAATACATCCGGGAAGGTAACGGCGCTCCATGCAGAGCTTCAGTTCAACCCTTTCAAAGCTCCCTGATTGATCTCTCTGTCCCTTCTAGCAGTGGCTGGTCATTTGTGTAGATGTTGAACATGGATGGAGCAAGCACACTCCCCTGAGGCAGGCCGTTCTTCTGTTTCCGCCATCTGCTTCTCTGGCCCTGGAACTCCACAAAAAAGCTCCTGTTTTGTAGCAGGTTTCCTATGAGGCGGGTGAGGTGGTCGTCCTTTGTGATATTAGACATTT